TCTCAAGATGTGCTCCTGACATATGAGCTGGTATTTTCACAGAGGGTGACAATACTTTAATTATTTTCAGACGAAAAGTACTCTTCTATGTTGAAGATAGGCAGGGCGGGAAGGGGAAGCACTTTGGAAAAGACTCGTCTATTTACTATGTGTTTATGTGGAGATGTGTGTGTTCAAGAGCTGGGGCAGTTGGGGACCTGCTTCTCAACATTTAGTCCAAACTGCAAGGGGTGGCAGCGTGGGAGACAAAAAACGCACACAGAGAATTAGGAAGAGTATGTTAGCTTTACCCTTGAAAATACGATGCTTTGTGTTTGAAATTCAGCACAGCTTTAGTCAGTGTTGGTGAAGACGGACATAATAAAATGTAAATGAGTAAAGTTGTTCAGTGTTACGTGTTGGTATTCATTGAGAACTTTGTCTTTGTCCATAGGGGATGACTCTGCACAAAAAAGCAGCAGAAGACAGACTGGCTAGCACAGGCTCAGGACAGTCCTTCCTGGCTAGACAGAGGCAAGCCACCAGCACAAGGAGGTCTTACCCGGGTCATGTCCAGCCAGCAACAGCAAGGTAGAGATGCCTTGCCCTTAGAAAGAAAACTGCCCTGTGATCCAGGCCACTTCTGTTGCAAGTGACAACATTCAAGAAAAATCAACCAGCATCCTTTCTCTTTCTCCCTTGTTACTGCTATTATTTTACACTTCAGGAAAGGGTTTTATTATGGTTTCTCATTGTTCTGTAATGCCCTTTGCTTATATTTTTTGGAGTCCACCTCTCTCTTTCTCTTTGCATTTTTTGAATGTGCCAAAGTTTTGAAAACATCTAGAGGAGTGCTGCATAGTCAGAGAGTCTTGCTGGTATGAAGCCTGGTCTCACGAAAAGCCTCATACTGGCTGTGTAACCATATAAACTTCCTGTCACAGTTGATATATTTGTGCCTATAAGGGTTGTTATGCTTTATAAGACTGTCTTTGTTCAAAGGGAATTAGGCTTTTTGTTTCATGTGCTAACCTGTTGCTTCAGAAAAAAAGCTGAAAACTCATTACAGAAATGCAAAATTCGTATATAATGTTATTGTGAAATATACTTGCTACTAAAAAACTTACCAATGGCAAAAAGAATGTTGGGGGGGGTGTATGTGTGGTTTTTTGTTTTGTTTGTTTACTTGTCTTGTTTGGGGGGGGGTGTCTTGTTTGGGTGTTTTTTGTCTTGTTTTTTGTTTGGGGATTTTTGGGGGTGCTTTTTGAGTGGAGTTTTTTTTTAATCTCCTACATACAAAACTTGCTCTTATTCTTGACATTTAATGGGGAAGTAGGATGATTTTTTTTTCTTTTCAGGTTATTATCTACTGGTGTTACCTCTTTTGCTGACAGCTGAATATTTTCAGATGGTTTGTTCCTGCTTCTTGGTCAAGTGTATGCTGAAATACATACTCAAAAAAGATTGGGAAATGTTTAGAATGCTCTGATATGCTACTGTATCATCCATTAAGAAGGACATTTGTTTCAAATTTTATGATTATGGATAACAGTACATAACGGATCAAGGCCCTGATTAATATTGTTGATGTTAGTGTATTCCAGTTGCCATCCTCTGCTAAAAGCCTTGCTTTTAATATACTGATTCAGGGTATAATTGTATCAGTTGCCTTACTAATGGTACCAGTGCCTTCAGGTGAGTTTGTTGCTGACTTTGTTGGAAACTGGGTGTTTTGTTGTACTGCGTTTTTAGCACGTAGCTGATTAATAGTACATCATTTGTCGTAGCGCTTTCACGTTGATCAATGGGGTGGATGGTGAACCATACTGTTAATTTAGGTTCTGTTCCTTTGAATTTCTACTTTTTCCCTGACTAATTCTCTGCTTTCCCTGTCGTTTTTGTCAAAGAATTGACACACAGGGTCTGATTATTGGTTGAAAGTTCCATATACATACATCTTGTTGTGATTCAGTTTTAAACATTTTTCATTTAGAGACTGTTTGGACCCTAATGTACATGCAGTCTGATTTAAAGATTCTTTCATCTTATTTTAATGCTCTCCCAGGTAAAACCATCTTTCATAAATCCCTTTAGAGAGAAGGCATACTTGAATTTATTAGTCATCTGAAGGTCTATGTCTGGACTGTGCTTGCCAGATTAGATGAAACAATGAAAGTTTCTTCTGTGCAGAAAGGTAACAATGTAAGGTTTAGGACAATTGTCTAGGACAATTTCTGTACTCGGTGAGGTGATAATTGTTGTGCTGCCTTTTACTGAGATAAGGAGTGCTGAAGGGACAAGAATTCAGATGTGCTGTCTAAGAAGATGACTACGGTTTGTAGGGTGTCTTTTAGTGATCTTATTGTGCAATACACTCTAGTCATTTGAAGAACCCTTTTTACTACGTGCCATGTGTGAACACGAGCAAATAAAATCACTTCTGAGGAAATCTGATGTTCTTATTTGAGATTACAGCATTTTATGTCACCGAGAGAAAGAACCTGAGAATACCTAAAGCTCCATTTTTATATTAATCTAGCTGACTGTTACCAAACTGCCAAAGCCTGTTTGTGAAAGCAAAGAATACTAGGACCTTAGTGGGAAGTTTTATCTCATAATTTTGTCTAGTAATTGTGCAGGTCTGAAATAACTTGAACACAATCTGCACACTGGAATAAAAGTACTTGCTTTTATTATTTCAGCCTTTGTTTTATCATTTTGCCTCCAAAGTTTTCATGACAGGCAAATACTGGTGGTGGTTTGGAGATGAACAAATGCTGATTAGAAGCCTCATTTTTATCTCTTACTTTCCTGTCTCTCAAGGCTTCTTCACTTCTTGGTGGTTGTTGGCTTTTATATTCTGCTTTGTGGTTCTGGTTGGTCTTTCCTTGTCCCTTGAGATAAGACATTGAAGTGTTCTTTGTAGTTCCTTTCAAGAATATATAGTTTCATTTTATTGCATCAAAGAGCAAAACGACTAATACTGAGTCTGTGCTTTACTGTTGCTCATAGTAATTGTTAGACAAGATAAAACAAGCATTTTGTCTTTTGAGAATTCTCAAACTTGTGGAAATTCTGTATTTCCCAGAACGTGTGTTGAATATAAAAATCTAAAAATATACTGCAGTCTTACAGAAATATCCACTGTAGCTATCCAGTTCCAATAAGTCATTTGTTCTATCTTCTAATGGTAAACATCAGGAACTTAATTCCTTGTTCTTGAGCATTTAACTTCTTTTATTTACTGGATACATAATTTCTTAATCTTTGGGTGTGGATGAATGGAGTTGGTGAAATCATTAAGCCTTCTCTCTCACAAGAACAGTTTCTTTATAGGAAGGGTTAAGCTTTGTTATTTTCCTCACTTGTTACGTAGCTTTGGAAGTAGTGTGGTAGTAAGAAAAAGAAGGGGCTCAGTGTGTGACTTCAGGGAATAAGCACATGAGCTACCAGTGAGTGCTATCTATTTGTCTTATCTTCAGTAATAAAAGAATGAAGGAAAAAAAAACCCCAAAAACAAAAACCCAACCCTGTCAGACAGATTTCCCTTGGTACATTACATACTTCTAAGAAGCTTTTCGGAACACTTTTTCAGGGGCAATAAAGACTATTTACATCAAAATTGTAGTGGTAATTATTGAACCAATGCTGCAGCCTATACTGATACACTATGAAAACAAACCCAGGAACCTTCAGACTGAGGTTAAAGAGAAAAGGTTCTACGGGGCAGTGATGAAACAGCTGAAGAGTTCATTAGAGTACATTCCTGTGCACTCTGCCAAGGATCTGCCACAGAAAGTACTTCTGACAGATTTTAATTAATGCCAATAAAACATAACAGTTAAGGGGGCAAATATTTTCATTGTTCAGAGCAAAAGCTTAACTTCGGGTCTTAAAGGGTAAGTGTGCAGTCCAGGTTGTATACTTCTGTGGAGAGTTCAATTGTTAGCATATCTGATCAGACATTACAGAAAAGAATATTCAAGTTCCCTATTTTCTTGACAGGTAGCACTAAGCACTTGGATTGTAACATGTGTTTTCCAAGTGCCGTAAAAAGTGAGGTAATCTAGTTTCCACCCACAGTGAGAAGGAAAATAAACAACTAGAGCACACAGCTTTATATATTGTAAAATGAAATAAATACATAATGGCTACAAGATGCTTTTCATTATCTCTCTGGAAATAAGCAAATGGCAATCTTAACCTGTTCTGATGTCATTTGAGATAGCAGTAATGCTTCAGCAAGTTTTCTGTGGCTTTCTATTCATGGTAAGGAGCATCAGCAGTTTTACATTCATTGTGTATGAAACAATTAACAGTGAATATCCCTATTACTTTATGTTGATCTTAAATAGTGATGAGCAAGCTGTTAAGAAAATTTAAGAGGATTTGGCAGCTTGGATAAGGTCCTCAGTATTTTGAAACGTGCAGGTAGCTTTTGCTTCTCCTCAGTTCCCTGGTATATGAAGCTATCTACTTAACAGCTTCAGAAATGACATTTTGGTGGGTTTAATTGTCTACATTTTTCTGTAGGTTTGGTATTTGGAAAATAGTTTAATTTTACCACTTGGTTTTCTTTTAGTGATTTGGAGGAAGACTGTTCTGAATGTGGCTAATTTTTCTTAGGAAGCAAAACAGTACCTGAATTTTATTCATTTTATAGAGATTTTTATTCTTGCCCAACATTGTGTCTTTTTGCAAGGATTGATGAGGGAGGTATTTTTTGCACTCAAAGTCAGCTATGCAATACTGACTTCTTGTGAGTTTTTACACGTGTTTTAGGTAGAACGTGGACTGTGCATTTTGCAGTAATGTTGGATTGATAAGCTTCGGTATCTCCAAATGAAGTTTAACAAATTTTGCAGGCATTTTCCTCACCAGGATTATGCAAATAACTAGCTAAAAGGGGTTACTCTGTCAAGAAATACTTCAAAGTGGTATTTTTTCCTGTAAGCCAAGTAGTCACACTTAAGGGGTGTCACCTACAGAGTAATTTGATAGCTGGATTATGACTGAAATGTCATCTCAGGAAGTCAAGCACTTACAAAGAAACCTTTTCAGAAACTCTTTCTTTGAACAACTCTTATTAGCTGGTGCTTTGATTATGATGCCTTTAGCATTCTATTAAAATGAAGAGGTGAATCAATAAAACAATGTAAGTGTAAAGATAGGTAAGCAAACTTTACAAACTGCACACAGCCCAGAGATGTGTCCCCTTCCAAATCTGAGCAGTCCAGCTCCCTTCTGTATTGTCAAGAGCACTGTGTTTCTACTTTATGCTTTGCTTTGGGAGAAAGAAGTGAATTCCTGTGTTATCTTGTAGGTTTGTGTAGGAGCAACTAACAAATCTCACTTTTGCTCAGATCATCTTTACAAGCCAAATCTTGTGGCTTATGGCAGATACCAGATTCTAGGTAGGATCCTAGCCATACCTCCAGTTTGCACTATCAAGGAAGTGTCCTCAAATGACTGATTGCATTGCCTTGCTCCTGTGATCTTTCTTCCCTTGGGAAGTCCAGTGAAGCAGCAGCTTGTCAGTGACTCTGCAGGTTATAAGGGATGATTTCTTCAGTTTGAAGGTTGGAGGAGATAGAT